CTTTTAGTTTCTTTGACTTTCTTTTTGTATCTCTCTTCTTCTTCCCTCTCTCTCTCTCTCTCTCTCTACTTCGCTCATTACTATTAATGTCTATAAACCTCAGTTCAATTTAGATACATCAATTAAAATCACTCTGCCAATTATTTAACAAATTTACAAAAATACAAAAATTAAATCACCAAATTGCAATTTCATTAAATAAACAACAAAAATATAATTTGTAGCGATAACAGAAAACCTGGCAGCTTGTGGCGACAATTAAGCGCCATTTCCGGCTGCTGTCAAATGTGTTTATCGCTCGCATTGCACAAATACAGTTGCATATAGGCGGGCGGACGGCAGGGTGGGCGGATGTTACCCGGCATTGCGCGTTAGCTTAACACTTTGGACAACTTAAGTCTGCTCATACACACACTAATATGAGAAGTCATTAAGTGTGCTTAAATGCCTCTTGACTGCGAATCTAGCTGAAATTATGCTAAGCTATATACATATATGTACATATATACATAATGTTTTTTATTAATAACTCCATCCAATTTTGTTTTCATTTAAGCATTATTTCAATAGGTTGATCACAAATTTATTCCATTTTACATATTATCAAATTGTAGTCCCATACATTATATTATATTACAAGATGCCTCACTTAACTAGTTCATAAATAATACCGCCCACTTGACACGCCCCCAACGTATCCATAAACAGCCGACGCTGCGTTGTTAAGTGGCATATGTCAAGGGTCAACGGAAATGCAAGCGAATGCAGCAAAAAATGCAATAAAAAAACAAAGAAACAATTTTAAAAACAAAACACATTAATAATAAAAATTAATTTAATTTAATACGAAAACAAAAATTAAAGCCAATGAAATTTTATTTCATACATAAATAAAATGTTTAGTTAATGGAATTTATAGAGTAAAGAGGCATCGCGTAAAGTTCAGCTCGAGCTCGGCCAAAAGTATAGTTTCCTCTTCTTCTTCTTCTTTTTCCGCTTGCAATTTGGCTTGGAGGTTGAACAGTCGAATCGTAGGCGTTCTTCCGGTTCGCTCGTACCGCCCATCCAAAATTCCCAGCTCGGCGCCCTGTGTTTAGCTTAGAGCCAGATATTCAAGTCCCTGCGATGCATCTCATTCGACAAAAAA